CAGACCTGGCTGCCCAGAGAGGACAGGCAGCACTGCCTCTTCCGGCAGGGAGAAAGAGAAACGGAGGCGGAGAGATACTTTCTGCTGCTCTGCATTCGGCTCATCTAGCCTGCTTGGTAGTTAATAACCAATCGGATCTCTAGGATCTCGTCCAGCCGTCTGAAAGAAGCCAGGGTATTGACTTCAGCAGCGTGGCCGGGCAGCTGGTCCCAGACTCCCACAGCCCTAAGTCCACCTCAGTTGGGACATTGGCACGCACCTTCTCTTCCCCACGCGCATGACCTCGACTGACCTCTTCGGGCGCGCCAGCCGTGCTGTCCCCAGATCGCAGAGGCTGCGCGGCCTTCGGGGGGCGTCTTGGGTCCTTACTGGGGCAGCCTGGCCGCGGGGGGGGCTGAGTTCTATAGCTGCGGTAAAGTGGCGCGTCGGGGGAGTATTCAGGCGTTGCCGCCGGCGCGGAGCGGAGTCCAGATAGAGGAGGACCCGCGCGGTCTCCCCGGCGTGTCCGCGCTCCTGCTGCACAGAAACGTTTGAGCACATCAACCTCACCTGCATGCTGACCTGATGCAGACCCCCCCGCTCACCCCCATACCCCCCACCCCCACCCCCACCCCGAGGTGTGTCTCTGGCTCGCGAAGGGTTGCTGACCGTCCTCGGTAACGCTGTTTTGTCCTCCTTTTGCTCTTCTCTGGGTGGACAGAGGTCAGATCTGCGGCAGGTAAGACCGGCTCGCTGGCTGTCTGCTCTGGGAGGAACTGGGAAACTGGGGTGGTGGAGGGGAGCAGCCTGGGGTTCGAGGGCACTCCGAGTGCGCTGGGGTGGGAGGGTGGGAGGGAGGGAAATCGGTCTCTGTTCTGTGAGTTAGACCTGTCTGCAGCTGAGCCAGAGCTATGCAGCTATTTGCACAGGTTGCAACGCAGGCCGATTTGTTTTGTTCGACGTGCGGTGTTGCAGGTGGCATGATTCCTACGTTTCCGTTGACTGTCTCAGATTTGTCTCTGAGTGTGAATGTCCACGTTTGCAAATGGCCTGTTCTGCTGTCTCGAAAGGCCCCGCTGATTCCCGCCTGTTGGCGTTAAGACCGTGTGCTCTCGATGTGCACTATTACAGTTGGGAAAATCCCCACGCTGGGCAGGGGGCGCTCCTGTTGGCTGTGGGTTGGCTCCGCAGTTGCACTCGGGATGTTGGATACCCCTCCCCAACAAAACGGCTCTTATCTCATTATTCTCCATGTGATCGGTGTGAGATCTGCTTCACAAGCCAAAGCAAAGGAAAAGTGGTATACAATTTTACCGTGCGAGTCAAGTACGTGTTTGAAGAGGTATGTTTCTGGGGGCCAGTGGGGAACCCAGCGGGGGTGTG